GTTAAAATTCAGAAAAAATAGACTTTAGTATTTTTAGTAGTTTAGCATTTTTGAGAAACTTTTTTTTTCGGAGATTTGTTGCGGAAATTATTGGTATAGTATTTTACTGCCACAATAATTTAAAAGTTTTAAGTTATCGTTAACACGATTTGTTTTTGTTTTTTTGGGGGGGGGGGGTGGCAAATATGTTTGGCTCTTTGACTCAGTACAACTACCTTTAAAAGTTAGCCATTAGCATTTCCACCTGTTCTTAATTGGAGAGAGTGAGACGCGAGCAGGGAAACACTGACAAAAACCTAACGACAAACAAACCCAACCGGTACAAACTACTACTTCAAACCAACTACTAAACAAACAGGGAAAAAACACAAACACTCCAACGTTTGACCACGACATTAAAAAAAAGCTCAAGTAAAACTCAAAACACTCACCATGGCGGCCACAGATCGAGCTGCACGATCCCTTTCAGTTAACTCTCCTACTACATCCGGTACACCCATCTAGTGGTGACAAAGAGAATTACACACATCATCATGCGACCTCCATGTTTTCACATTTTCCCACTGTATTTTGCGTCTAATTGTTTTTTTGTTTTGTTTTTTACCTCCATGTTTCCAGACATTAATCATTGATGACAGTGGATGTCACAACAACGCCGAACAGTCAACTTCGTCAGGGTTTGGTTTCAGCTGAATTATTTACACGTCGCGTGACGTGATATCCTTGTGTTTCCAGCCTCCTTGAATTTTATATTTACAGGTTAAAGAAACTTTGTGAATATTTTCGATCAGCTTCTAAAGCTGAAAAATAAAAAAATCAGAACTTAAGCCATGAATCAGAGCAGGAGTCAGGAATTCTGCTCATCAAAAAAAAAAATATATATATATATATAAGATTTAAAATTCTTTGGAAGCATTGGTTTAACTGGAGTTGTGGATTTTTTACTATGTATTTAGTTTTGTTTTAAATGACTGTTATATTAGTAAATATTATTGTTATCTACTTTAAATGTGTTAATAAAACAATGATTGAAAATGGTGTGAAAATTATGATAATTACAAAAAATAAAAAATATATAATTTTTAAAAAAAAAGTATATAAACTCATTCAATTCCAATGGTAAATAGTAGGAAAATTTGCCATAACTAAAAAAATAAAAAGTGACAGAAATATAAATTATACAGACGTCCAAACACGTCTGATGCTTGTTTTGGGTTTTTTTTTTAGAAGTAAACAAACTGAGGTTCTGTACAAAAGGCCTTAGTTTATTGAACTCACGCAACCTCAGCAAAAACTGAATGAAATTCACCAGTTAAACTGCAGATGTTTAACCGGTGACCATTAGTCAAGCAGCTAGTTTTTTTTTTTTTTTTTTTGCATACATGTTTTTAAACATGTTTTTTTTTCTGTGCAATCCAACTTCAAACAAATACGACCGTGTTTGTTACTTTGGTTAAATATTTGGTGATCTTCATTGTGCCGTGAAAGAGCAAAGCAGTTTATTAGTTGGATTGGATTTTATGACTAATGGATTATTAGTGCAGTACAATCTGTAATCTGATCCACTCCGGAGTTTGATTGGCCGACGCGGAGACGATCTGATGCGGAAGTTCGTCACAGTCTTGTCCACGTGGACGTGCGCTCTTCGGTCTGGTGCTCGTCTGTCCACAGTGTGGAACCGAGCCATAATCAGGAAAAGAGTGTCTATAAAGTACCAGCGCTTTTCACAGAACAGAAAAGTTCCGTGCACTTTTGGCAGTCACCGCTGCGTCAGCAGTAACACTGCCGTCCACCTTTGGTGACTTCCTCAGAGGAGTGGACGATGTTTGGGACGAAGCCGCTCTTCACGCCCTCCCAACCGTCCTGGATCTTGATGTCTCCGCTCCGCACCAGGTCAAAGATCTCCCTCGTCAGGTCCACGAAGGCCTGGAGGAGGAGGAGGAGAAGAAGAGGAGCAGCAGCAGGGAAAAACACGAGGATTTAAAATTAATTATTAAAGATGATGAAAATAAAGATCAAGTTTTCCTCTGTTGTCATTATGATACATAAAAAAAGTCCAGGTAGAGTTTCAGTTTCAGGTCTGAAATATTTGTTTAAAGAATCCTCTCTACTAATAAGAATAGAATAAAAAATATTTATACATTTAATGTATAATATATAGAGGTTTCGTGGCATTTCAAGTTTTCATAAAAGTTTTGAGGCAGTGGTGGACTTGGTTCTGGAAGGTTTCAGGTTCGAGTCCACCAGCTGCCATTGACAAGTGGTTCACTTTAATTAAATTTAAAAAACATTTTTAAAAAGGTTGATGCAGATTGTTACCAAGAATTTCTTAAAAAGAAATGACCAGTTGTCCATGACGCCCACGATCCACAACCCTTATGGGTTTTTTTTTATTATTACATTGAACTTTGTTGTCTTTTGTCCTTAAAAAAAAGAAACAAAACGTCCAAACCTTTTCCACGTTGATGGCGTCTCGCGCTGACGTCTCCACATACTTCATACCGTAGGCTCCCGCCAGCTTCTCCGCCTCCTGCTGCGTCACCTGACGCTGAGCCTCCAGGTCGCACTTGTGACCCACCAGCAGGAAGACGATGCTGTGCGGCTGCACGTGGCTCCTGGCCTCCTCCAGCCAGTCGTAGACGTTCTGGAAGGATCTGTGGTTTGTGATGTCAAAGAGTAAAAGCCCCCCCACTGAGTTGCGGTAGTAAGCCCTGGTGATGGATCTGGACGGAGGGACGATGGGGTTTGTTAAAATAAAATAAAAAAAAAAAAATTAAGAACACTTCAGACTGAGTCTTTTTTTTTTCCATCCCACTCCTCCCTCGTCTTTACCTGAACCTCTCCTGTCCGGCCGTGTCCCAGATCTGCAGTTTGATCCTTTTCCCTGGTTCGATCTCCACCAGGCGAGAGAAGAAGTCCACCCCCACGGTGGGGTCTGAGACCTGGGCGAAGCGTCCCTCCGTGAACCTACGGATCAGACAGGACTTCCCCACGGTGGAATCCCCGATGACGATCAGACGAAACTGATAGAGCCATATGGTTTCCATGTCGGAGGAGAAGAGTTCTGTGGAGGGATGAGAACAAACCCCAGACGGAGGAACAGGAAGTTAGCTCTCGCTCCTGACTGATAACTGACAGCACCTCATGGCTAACACTTAGCTTATTTGTTACATTATGGACTTATTTTGGTAACTTCTCATCTTTTTTTTTTGGTACTCCTCGACTAACTCTTAGCTATCTTTCTTCAGCGTCTCTTGCTATATTTTAAAACTAACTTATTTTTTTGGCTAATTTATTATATAATGATTCAATTCCTTTGTGTCATTCACTTCACTGTAGCACATTTTAAACTTTTAATTCAATTTGGCTTCTGTATTTCTATACTGTATGCCTTATTTTTTTATATATTTTCATTCTTTAGTTAAACACTGGGATTAAAACATTCAATGTTTTAATTTTATTTCTCAACTACAGCTGCATTAGTTCCACTTGTAGCTCATTCTGTGGTGACTTTTCGTTTTAGTAGCATTATTGTTTTATCAAAAAAATAAATAAAAATAATAATATTTTTTAACAGCATTGTTATTGTTCAATGTAACAATGTTTTCTGTTACTTTGAACAAAACATAAATGCTAAGTTTACACTATGAGATCATTCTCTTCTGTACCAGCATTGGCCACGTGGTTTCCAGTCATTTTAAGAAGAGGGTGAAGACACAGACAGAGAGATAATAATATCCCCTCCTCTCTCTCTCTCTCACACACACACACACACACACAGTAAACACACCCATCTCCCATGTGGATCCTAAACTGGCTCCTATACAGCAATCACAAAACTGCTGGACCACATGAACCCTCATAACACACGTCATATTAAATCTACAAAAAAAATCACAAACTGCTAACAGTCATTAGCGCCACCCAGAGGAAGCTTTCGGTCAACTGTAAAAGGCCCAGCCCTGTTATTGTGAAGCTGTTGACTGTCTGTGACTGTGATGATAATTATATTAACAAAAATAAAAACAACTGTGATGATAATTATATTAACAAAAAAAACTAAACAAAAAAAGTAAAAAATTGAATTCACTCACCTTAAAAAAAATCACCCGATCAGCAGAGAAACCCCATGTTTGGACGGATGTTGTAAGAAACAGTTCTCCAGTTTAGCGGTGGTTGTGTTGCTTGCGGGGGAGAGGTGGTCGATGACGTCACAGCTACTGTAGTATCATACGTCGTGCCCGAAGTCGAACGTCGTGGTCGGTGTGAACAGACGGACGAGGCTCCATTAACGATCAGGAGGAAAATGTTTCCGTCATGATGTAATGATGAAATGGCAGCAGCAGCAGCCTCCTCTCATCAGCACCAGCGTTACCGTAACTGTACACAGAGCGGCGCAACAGCAACGCTGGAGCTGACGATGCCTTCACTGACTGTGAGAAATTAAAAAAAACAAAAACGATTTGTTATTGTTAGCATCAGCTACTTACGAGATTGATTTTAATCAGTTTTGGGCAACGAACAATATAATATAATGTTGTAAATAGTTATCATAACATATAATACTTAAACGATATCAAATAAGTTCGACCAAAAACGCCATCTTTAAATCGAACTTTGTACGAACGTTACCAACAAAACAGAGCTAGGCTACTTTATTAGCTGGAATAATTGCTTTCAAGTTTTCTTCTGTTATTTTATTTAATTTCCCTGAGTGAGAGATTGGTATTACATACATTTTATATAACTATTTTTCTTTGCCGTATGTTACCCACGACTCGTGTATCTTATGTACGAGCAGTACGTGAACGCACCACCTACAGTTGTCATCTTATATTTAAAAGTTATTAGTAGAAGCAAAGCGAGAGAAAACCCCCACATATAAGTTACAACAGAGGCTAAAAACTTCACACTCTTCTTCTGTACACTTTGGATGTTTGATCCCGACATTCCATTCTTTAGACGAAACAGAATGTGCTCGATTTTCTTGTTCTTTCTTGTGTTTTTTTACGACGTTTTGCGGTGATTCATCTACAGCTTCGTTCCGTCTTTTTTCTCCAGTTCTTTTTTCTGTCCCACTAAGAAGGATTATTAATATATTTTTTTATAATACTTGCCTCTTCGGAGCTGCAGAGCCATGCAGCGGGAGCTCCTCTTCAAAGTCTTGGTCATCGGGGACCTGGGGGTCGGGAAGACGTCCATCATCAAGCGCTACGTCCATCAGATCTTCTCCCATCACTACAGAGCCACCATCGGCGTGGACTTCGCCCTGAAGGTCGTGCAGTGGGACAAGGACACCGTGATCAGGCTGCAGATGTGGGACATAGCAGGTGTGTCATTGAATTATTTCATTTATATAAATGCATTTATTGATTCGATTGATCATTTAAATAATAATTCTATAAAAATTATAATATTTTTTAATATACATTCATTATATTCATTTCTTAATCACATAAAATGCCATTTAAAAAAAAATCTCATTTTATTTGGGGTAAAAAAGATCAGCAGGCTGAGCACCTGCTGTCCATCATGGGACCAGTTTCTGGACTCAAAGAGGCAAAAACCTCATCCCACAAATTATATTTGTACATTATTATAAACTAATGCATTAACAGTAGTCGACTATACCTAAAAATAACCGTGAAGGCAGAGCAAATATATAATAAACATATTTGGTCATTTTATATATTATATTTTGATAGTGAGTATTAAATGAAGAAAATAGGAATAAAACAGTTGGAGAGGCTGAAACTGCTGGAGTTAGGATTATAATCTGGAGGATGAATATGTGCTGTGTGTAAAGCACTTGTACAAACAGACAAACAGGGTTTTACCGGTTGCGGCTGCTCATGATAAACCTTGAGTCAGTATAACGTTCACGGCCCAGATGTTACTGGTGTCTCTGCTCGTCTTATAAAACAATGAATATTTTTGTTTTGGTTCCTCCAGGTCGTTTGTGTCCTCTTGAGGAATGTAGATCTTGTGCCTGGGTGTGACTCACGTGACACGCTGCTCATAATTTCACTCACATGATGTGAACACACACGCACACACATAGCTACGCAAAGTATGCAGCGGGGTTATTTAATTTTATGGATATTGACCTGAAAGGTGTCACTATTTCTGTGTGTGTGTGTATGTGTGTCCACGCTTCTCAGGACAGGAGCGTTATGGGAACATGACCCGGGTCTATTACCGGGAGGCGGTGGGAGCCCTCGTAGTGTTTGACGTGACCAGGGCGTCCACATTCGAGGCCGTGCTGAAGTGGAAGGATGATCTGGATTCAAAGGTCAGATGCTGCAAAGTGGAACTCGTCTTTGAGCTACATCTGAGACACAGACAACTCCCAGAATCCACTGTGTGGTCCAGGGCTTAGGAGTTTAGAAATAGGCAACCATTTTGACCTCTGATCCAAGACAGGGTTTGTCAGGATGGTGTGAAACCTCTCTGAAGGTTCTCAGTCACTGAGAACATGGTGAAGACCAAGCTGCCAGAAAGAAAAAATACCTCAGAGCAGAAGGAAAATGTTGGAACATCTTTTTCTTAAACACTCAACACTCACAAAAATAATTCTATTTGCTTAGTCTTTAAAAGAGGCAAAAATAACCCTGAAGGTTAGAAACTAAAAATGAGTTTTTTTTGTGTTTAACCTGGGTGTAACTCCTCCTCCTCTTCTGACCTAAGGTGACTCTGAACCACGGTCGCTCAGTTCCAGCTGTTCTCCTGGCCAACAAGTCGGATCAGCTGGGATCACAGCAGCCCAAACTCGACCACTTCTGTAAGGAGAACAGCTTTGTCGGATGGTTTGAGACGTCAGCCAAGGTAAAACTGAAGACAAACACAGGACGGATGAGAAATTAATACCAGTTTTCAGGTCGTTGAAAGTCACAGTTACATCTTTCCATGGACCTGAAACAAACAAAAAAAAAAAACAGATTTTAGAAATTCTGTCATGGTTTGAGACGTCAGCCAAGGTAAAAGTGAAGACAAACACAGGACGGATGAGAAATTAATACCAGTTTTCAGGTCGTTGAAAGTCACAGTTACATCTTTCCATGGACCTGAAACGAACAAAAAAAAAGGAGTGACAAAACATGTTTTAAAGTTTCAATATCTAGAATTTGACTTTGCTCATCAGAGTTTTGTGTTTTACACTGTGCTTTCTCTCTTTCTCTGTTGGTCAAACCTTTGGCTCATGTGGTTATTTCTTTCCCTGAGCTTTGCCAGCGTCGGCAGTCCGGTGTGAATTAGCTCCCTGTTCTTTCCTGTCTTTTGGAGCCGTAGTGTGAGTTGGACGCAAGAGCGAAAATTCAGAAAATAGGTCAAACAGAGCAGCTCACAAAGAACCGCTGAGGGTTTTAAGAACAAAGTGTCACATCCTGGCCTCTCCACGGAGCGCGTACAGAACATGGATTTGACCCCTGGAGTTCAAAAAGACTTTCTTATGAAAATCTACCATGTAGAATTCACATTTCACAGCTCATTAAACTCTAGTTAGTTCAACTTTCAACTTTTTTTTTTTCCCTACCAGGAAAACACAAACATTGAGGAGGCGGTGCGCTGCCTGGTGGAGCACATCCTGAACAACGAGGAGAGCACAGTGATGGAGCGAGAACCCGGCTCCATCAGTCTGTCTGGATACACCAGCACCACCAAGGATCATCTGAACTGCTCCTCCTGTGTGAAATTAAATTAAATCGTTGATTTTGGTCGTTAAATCGGGGCCCTGCGTAAATTAGGGGTCCCCGTGAATTTGCCTGAATTTCCTAGATTTTTGCGATGCCTCGGTTCATGAGAAACAGTACGTCAAGTTAAAAAAAAAAAAACAACAAAAAAACACACAAACTAATCCACAGCCCAGATATAAAACAGCAAAGTTAAGTCCTGTTTCGATGTCTTTAGACTCAGTGTACCTTTAAACTTGTGAATGTTATTAGCCCTAGCTGTAAATCAAACATAATGTCCTCTTATATAAACCATCACGTAAATGTTAAAGTTAGTTAGAAAAAAGTAAAGATAACAATAACAATGTGTCTAAAATTATATTCAAAAGAACCTTAAAAAAATATGTCGGCTAATAGTAGCAAAATAAGCTAACAAAGTAAAAACGGAGATTTAAAAATAGGAAAATGCCGCCCTCTGGTGGTTCGTTAATTTTGTTTCCTGGAGGTTACGTACATAACTATGCCAAAACCAAATTAATTATGATTTTTGTTTTTACTACGTTCTTACACAACACGACACACTCTGTGAACACGTCTTTTCTCCCCTCGTGAGCTGCATTACTTGGTTTGTTCCTAATCTTAAAGACTGGATTGAACTGGTTCCTGGGGGGAAAAAAACGTGTGTCATTGAGTGCGTTGCTGTTGATGCGTGGACTTAACCGTCACACACGTCACACTGTCCATCACTGCTGTGTATTTAATGGATGAGGAGGAATGTGTTTTACTGCGTGTCAGGAACGTGTCCTGTGTCGTTACTAACAGCTTTGTAGCGACATTTTTTTTTTTTATCACATACTGATCCCAGATCTGTGGAGTGGAAAATCTGCTCCCACCTGTCACTGAGGAAAAAAAGTCAGGAAAAACTAAAACAACATATAAAAAAGAAAAAATCGTGGAGATGATAATGGAGGAGAAGCAAATCAGCAGATAGTGCCATTAAACAGTCCATGTAATTACCGGATAAATGCTGTAGGGCGTTAGCAGATTGAGGAAAGTCTTTAATTAGAGCAGCAGCGGTGAAGAATAAACCACTTAAACCAGTATTTCTTCTATACTGGACTGGGGACATTATAAAACCTGCACCATTAAAAAAAAAACACAGACTTCAGGTCTTCGCCAAAGTAGGACTTGTTCATTTAAAAGTGTTTAAAGTAAAAGGGGGGAAGAACTCCCGGGCTGGGGGCCACTTCTGGACCACTAGTTCCCCCGCATCAGGTCCATAACTAGGTGTCAATTATAATTTTGCACTTCGTTTTTATTATTATTATTTAATTTCATCTTTCATATTTAATTACTAATGTCCTAAGCTAAAACAAATGACTAGTTCTGACGTATTATAAAGTATTTATATTAAACAAAAATATGTGGCCCTCCAGTGAAATGATGGCCCTCACCTCATTTGAATTGGGTGCACTCACACTAGGGCTGTTGTGCGATTGCAATTCAGTTAAAAAATTAAAAATGAATTGTTTAGTTTCTAGTGGGTCTGATATACACAGATTGTTGGCTGGTGATTTTAAACTGTAATATGGTCCTAATATGCTGAGAGTCAGCAGAAAACTGATTTTAAAAAATTCAATTAATTTTGCTAAATGTAAACAAAGCATAGGGTAAAATATAAACAAACATATTAAAAAGTGAAAGCGGGAAAAAATTAATAAAATTTTGGTAAACACCATTATAGTCCTAATTAAAATTGCTCCTAAGATTTGGAGGATTTGGTTTAATCAGGAAGAGCTAAATACTAAATAAAAATATAGATATATATAATCAGGAAATATAATCACCGTGGTCCAGAACCGTCCGTATCTGTGTCCAGTGTATGGCCGACCCCAGCTGTACTGGAACAAACTGGTCCAGGACGGGAGGACTAGTGAAACGTTAGCGCCAGTGCAGAGGAACTAGGTGGAAGAAAATGCAGATGTAACTGTTGTCCATCAGTATCTGTGGGATTACAATAACAATTTGTTTTTGTTTTGTTAATGAACTTTGTTAAAGTCGTGTCAGGAAATGGCTGTGATAAACAGTAATTAAAAAACAAACAAACAGAAAGAGAAAAACTGTATATGTTGTTTTTTTTTTGTGGTCCTACAGTCAGTCTCAACAAACTATTAATCCTCCTCCAGCAGCTCCACAGAGACCAAAACTATTCGGCTATGATTTCCCTCTATGGAGGTTCTGAACATTTTTAGAAAAACAAAGCTTTAAATCACAGCTGTGGTGTTAAAGTTTCCTGCAGGAATGGATTTTTGCTGGAGTTTTACAGCAGTTTCCCAGGAGATGCCGCCGTCTGGAAAAACCCCATTAATATAACCATGCAGATAAAACGGCTGCAGGTTGGTTTAAATGATCCTCACTGAAAAACACAGCATGAAAAGATAGCGTATCCGTGACATTTAAAGGCAGGTGTGGAACCCACGGTATCTCTGCCATAACACGCTCGGATCAGGAGAAAGGTAAAAAATGTGGAACCCACGGTATCTCTGCCATAAAACGATCGGATCAGGAGAAAGGTTAAAAAAAATACTGTGTTCTGCAAATACTATTCTCATTTAAGAAAGGAAATAAAATAAAAAAAATAAATGCATTTCCTCTGCTGTGGTACAAATAAATAAAATATTAATATTTTAATTATTTTACCCCTATTCTACCCCTTCTACTCTCCCTGCACCCGCTCTGTGCTCACCACGTGGTAAAGTCCATGTTAAGAAAACACAAAAACACTATATTGTAAAATTATAAAATGAACACTAAAGAAATTCATTAAGTGGCCACCAGGGGGCGGTCTGACTTTTAGATTAGAAATTTCACAAATATAGGTACTCATAATATGGTTGGGACTGATATATATTCAAGTTTACGAAATGTAAAATATTCAAGATATGTAGGTGAGAATCGTGCCTGTGGGGGCAGTGGCGCCCCCATGGGTGGGCTAAAGGTGGCCACAATCACCCGTGGAAAATTGCTGGCCAACATAGAGGATCCGTCTCTTTTGTCCTCTGACGTCAGTTACTGACGACATAAGGATCACACTAATATATATATATTTTTTTTTAAATAACAATGACATTGAGCAAAGGAAATAGGGCAGAAAATAACGTTTATAAAAGATGAATTTAACCTAAAAAAATGTTAAAAAAAATATTAATATATTATTAAACTCTTGATAGGTCAATTGTCACTAATTGGGACGACTAAAAAAAATTTTAAAAATTAAATTTTCAAAATGACAAATATTTGTATGGTATATATTTATATACACACATTTATACATATATAAAACAAACATAAAATATATAATATGTTTGTTGTATATATATGTAAATATATTTATATATGTATATATATAACATTTTCCAATGAAGCCCAATAACTGTACAAACAGAGAAACAGTCACATCTGACTCCTCATTCCTCCCCATGCAGGAGGAGGTGATGCACCTCCATCCTCGTTTGCTCCCTCCGAGGGGCAGCCTTCTGCTTTAAGATGCCCTCCCCGGCGCTGAGAAAGTGGCCCAATCGCCCTCCTTTCTCAGTCACCTGATTCATGTACTGCCATTTTACACACTCTCACACACAAGTTTGACTCATATAAAAAAAAAAAAAAATGGGACACGGCCTATCGACAACCTGAGCAAACACACACACACACACACACACGCTGGGGCTTTTGTAGGAAGATGAGAAGGACTGGATAGAACGGAGTCACAGAGGCAGCAGCAGCAGCAGCAGCAGCAGTGGTGGTGCTGGGTTTTTGCGGTCGGATCTTTGCGCACATTTGGAGGAGAAACCGGGTGAAAAAAAAGGAAGGAAGAGGAAACGACGGTGGTGTTTTATATCGTCTCGGCTCATCACACGGGAGGATTTGATGAGAATCAGCGGCGGAGCTCGCGATTATTTTTGGGATACGAGACTCGCGTTATCCCGCCGCCTCTTCTCGCCCTTGGCACCGGCTATTTTCAGGGACGCATCACCGTTTTTCACCTTTTAATATCGACAACGATATGATTTTGTTGTGATAAATCATAAATGACACTTTTTTTTGTAGCTTTGTTTTTTAAAAACAGTGAACGCGACCCGATGTTCCGTTTTTTTAGCGTAAAGACTGAATATCCAGCGGTTCATCGGTTGGACGTGAAAGGTGTCATGTTGAATTTGGCCGACGCATGAATTCTCACACCGGATCCTGGTCGGTGAAAGCTGCTGCTGCCCTCCTCAGCCTCCCCCTGCACCTCCTCTTTAGACGACCGAGTCTCGCAGAGGGCACCCCACCGCCCCCCCCCCCCCCCCCCCCCCTCCCCCCCCCCCCCCCCCCCCCCCCTGCCGCTAAAGACATTTTGATCGTCCTCCCCCACCCGGACTCGACCATCACTCCGCCTGCCTCATCCTCCACCACCACCTCCTCCTCCTCTTCTACTACTATCACCTCCTCCTCCGGAACATGTCGGGACAGTCTTTCACGGACCGGATCGCCGCCGCGCAGCACAGCATGACCGGCTCAGCCATCAGCAAAGCCGTGTGCAAGGCCACGACGCACGAAGTCAGCGGACCCAAGAAGAAGCACCTTGACTGTAGGTTCAAAAACATGCCATCACTGCACATATGCATACACTATGTTCTCTCTCTCTCTCCCTCTACCTCCCTCTCTCTCTCCTACACACACACACTACCGCAGCTCACTCATGCATGCACACATACAGCTCACATCTGTCCTCACAAAGAGATGCTGAATGCTCCGTGCCATCACATCCACGTCACCTCCCCAAAAATAGTCAGACACATGAGGTGCATTCCCTTTGAATTAAGGCGCAGTTTACGCTGCGGACGCCTTTGTGTGTACGATGTGATCAACTCCACAGTGACATTGGGATGTGTGTGTGTGTGTGTGTAAATGTGTCATTCAGGGGGGAAATAGGCCACTCTGGCATAAGGCTAATCATATTGCAACCAGCAGCTTTACAGTGTTGGCCTATCCCATTGGGATATCACTATCAGCAGCAGCAGCAGCAGTAGCAGCAGCGGCGGCGGCGGTGGCAGCAGCATCAGGACTATTATCCCCAGGAGACACCTCATACACACTGTTTGTTCAGCATCACCATAACATTTTGTGGTCATCGCTCAGGATGTCACATTCAAAGCCCACTGTCACGTTTCTGTGCTGCATTATTATCATTTATGAATGTTTCTGCAGAGAGAGAGAGAGAGAGAGGAAGAGAGAGAGAGAGTGTGTGTGTGTGTGCAGCTGTGCTGATGGATTTTTGCATTTTGGATGCGTTTCCTTATCTCCACTCTATGCTAATCACCTGCAGCAGTTACAGCAAACACAGTCAGAAAGAGATTTGTCTCATGGCTCTTGTAGATTTTTAACCAGTGATGATGAGGTGAGGGCGGCTTTTCTTTCCTCTCTATAATTACTTGACATGATCAATAGGGAGCACGGGTAATCAATGGGGCTGCCGGTCAGGCCGCGGTTCAGATGGACTCACCGTCACAATGACAGAAACACAGGCAGACAGACGGACAGATGGGGGGGAGGGACGGAGGATGGAGTGGGGGGGGGTTAAGATGGCTAATCAAGAGGAAATGTGAATAAATCAGTCAGAGAGGAAACAACAAGGCCCGGAGCCAAGCTGCCGGAGAGTCGGTCATCGCTGTCGTACGCCCGGGCCAGTCCGCCAGCAAGTTAGCCAGTGGATTAGTCACTTATTTGTCCACAGCAGAGGTGACTCTGGAGGACCCCAGACCTCCAGGCAATACATGTCAATCAACTGAAAAAAACACCACGAGCGAAGGAGGTGGCGCTGTTTCATCATTTATCATCATGCTACATCCAATAACGCTGATCGTCACATGTACGAGGGACAGGAATAGTTTCTTAGTCACGCCGGTTGGAAAAAAAAACATAGTTAATTAGAGAGTTTCTGCGATTCGCCCATCTGGACATCGGACGCTGTTATTGGCTGATTATAACACAACAAAGACAACACTGGCTGTGGATCAGTGGTTGAAGGATCAGACTTGTGTTTTAAATACTTTAGTAGTATATAGTAGTAGTATTATACACAGTGTTTCGCAGGTGACTTTTCCGAGTCACAAAATATCAACCTCCGACAACTCGGCACTAAACCTGATAAATATTTATGTCGTGTCAACACAAACCAAAACGTCTCAGTCGGAATTCATGTTCTAAAAACAAAAGGAAGATTCTGGAAAAATCCAGAAAGAGAATTCACCACTCCAATTTGGTCGGTGTGTTCTTGAGATATTTGTCTAACATCATAAAGATACTACGCCTTGAATCAAATCCATGGTGCATCAGGTTAGTGCAGTTCCTAATCTGTACAACGTACAACGGATGCAGTTCCTAATCTGTACAACGTACAACGCATCCGTTGTACGCATCCGTTGTACGTTGTACAACGCGTTCGATTCCCGAAAATTTAAATAGGTCAGAAATTGGTCATGATTTTTTCACGATCAGATATAAACAAAAAACAAATATAACCTGTCTGATCCGATACCTAAACCCAAATACTCATCTTAACTCGCAGAAAACAAGGAGACTATCACTAAGGTACCGGCAGATACTCCAGATTACAGTGTCGGTATCACGAGCACCTCGGTCGCAGTTGCATAGAGTTTGATGCCAAGTGTGGAGATCAGGCCTATTTACGTCTTTCTTTATCTCAAATCCACATCTGCTGTGACCAACTCTGAGGCTTTGTAGATTACAGTTCCTCAAACAAAGAGCAATTTTTTTTTTATCCAAAGTCACCCGGTCCTGTGAAGGACTGGGATTGGTCCAAATCATCTGCCTTACGGCCCAAGTCTGACTCCGTAATAGATTCCAGTCCTAATGTGTCCGTCCCCTCAAACTGGAGAAGTCAAATTCTCCTGCCACACAAACACTAACTGCTGACCTAATTCCTGCAGAAAATCAGATCCTCCAAGATTCCAAATGAAGTGCCATGCTAGGCCTCATCAGATAAACTGCATCAAGACACTGGCACAGCACAGCATGTTGGGCTTTTTTTTTATTGTGCTCACTGGCGAAGCCGCAGTTTTATGAAAGCATTTTACCACTGCAGTTATTAAATGGTAGAAGGTCGTCTGCCTTCCTCAGCAGCTGCGTGTCGGAGTTTCTCAGAAATCTACAGTGAATTCGACTCCAGATCAATATGGGAGATTGTGAAAATGCATTTACATGACAAACTGTCGTCCAGTCTCAAGGACAGGGGCATTTTTCCTGAGTGTTTTTGACCATATTTCATCGCGGTGCTCACATGACACATGATGCCGATGATTGGAGGAGTAAAAATGCCCCCGTGCCAAGACAGGAGCTGTAAAGCCTTGGCTCCGTTCACCCTCCTGGCAGCTCGGATTAAATTTGGACTTGAAGGGATGTTTTGTTCTTGAGCCATTCTAATGCACTCTTTCTAATAGACAACACCTCGCTCCATAAAACACTTTCAGTTTCCCATTGTTAGTGGGCCTGTCTTTTCCACATAAGACAACAATATAGAGGTATATCTGTCTTCTGTCCAGAGGTCAGGTGAGGACACAGGGAGAGAGTTAGTCTGTGATCAGGAGGACAGCGACATTAATCCCTAACACTGTCCGTTAGGACCTCGGTGAAGAGGTGGAGAACACAAAGAAAAGGTAATGAACTCTTAGCAGCGCCCCCCAGGGGGAGTAAGACGTGTCCGTGTAAGACAGTGGGGTCAATGTCAGGTCTCAGCGTTCACATACCTGTGACCTACTCTGTGTTCTACTCTGTACATCCCACATCGTACAAACAATGTACCCGAGTACTTTCCCGTTTGCATTCTTCCCTCTTTGAAAAAACATAGTTCTGTTCAAATGTTGCTCAACATTTCACACAAGTACATGTCGTGCTTTTGGAATGTTTTTGTTCTTGGCCAGAGCTCAACAAACTAAGCTCAACATGCCTGTTGTCGGGAGATAATCCTGATGTAAATGAAGACACTAAGAAGAGGCTAACAAACGAGCCAAAAAATATCTCTAGGGGAAATACTTTAAAGGAAGACACGGAGGCTTAAAACGAGCAGAAAGGTAGTCAAAACCATGATCAGAAATACATAAATATTGGGTCAGAAGTTGTTAGAAAAAAAATATAGCAATAGTAGCCAAAGGTTAAAGCTAAAAATAGAACAAGGAGCCATTTAGTAAATGACCATTTCCTTTAGCCTAATGTAAAATAAAACAGATTTTAAAGATTAAAAAAAAACTACCACAAAAATATCTAATGTTTAGAAAGTAAAATAAAACAGATTTTAAAGATAAAAAAAAACTACCACAAAAACATCTAATGTTTAGCTAACAACAGTACTGCAAAATGCCAACTGTTGGCCAGATCTAGGTGTAAAGTCTTGTCCAAGTATTGCTGAAACAGTTGAACATTAGAGAATACCAAGACCAAAAACAGCCAAATAATGGGTTAGAAAAGGTACTACGTTAATGGTAACAACAAAATAGAAATTCAGAATGAGTTAAAAAACATTCTGATGAAATGTTGGGAAATAAACAAAACTGCCCTTGAAATATATTTGATGTAGTAGAATAACACAGAAGAAGCTGTGGGCCAAATAAAACACCTTTAAACGCAGTGTCAGGCCCCTGAGCCGGACTTTGAACGTCTGCACCAAAGGTTCTGGTCTCACAAAGATGATTAAAGCAGGAAGGTTTCAGGCCACGAGTGGGATTTAAAGTCACATGCAGCAGGTTTATACATTTTTTTTTATGTAGGTCACAAAAACAGAGAACACAGACTGCATCTGGGGGTCGGCGACTGCTTTAGCTGATTGTAGAAATTTGATGAATACGGACAACATTTCAATTACCTTTAAAACATACTCAACTTGTTATCGATCTGTCCTCACCCGGGGAACGCTGAGAAGACGAGATGAACGGCCGTAGCGTTCCTACAAACACAATCCATGATAAATCAAAGGCGGTGAAGGTAGTGGGAGCGACGGCGCCCGGGTCTCACATCGACAGGTCTTTTCTCCTCCCCTCCATGGTGTCATGACCTTGACAGACTGGTCGGTGACACCAGTGGCCAATGTTGATTATTTACAGTCCATTGCGAATGATCAGTATGACACTGTGAGTAATGGGATTTCACTTTCACTAGGCAATATTCTGCATGAGTGAGATAGTGGCGAGTGGCAATAGAAAGCAGATTTATCAGCTGCAGAATAGTAATCAGGCCAGAAATGACCTTCTGCCCTGGAAGTGCGCGCCGCCGTTATTCACCATGTGATGGCGTTTGGTTGTTTGTCACGGCTGCGGCGGCCATATGTTTCACACCGCCGCAAAACACACGGCTTTTGATAACGCTGTGTACCACCCCTGAGACCGAATATTTAATTCCGTGCGTGAGTATTTTGACCAGCCTTAAATTTCTGTCGTATTTTATCCTACCAAGCGTAAGAGATGCTGTAAATGTCACGTCGCGACACCTTAATTTATCATGCTTGTCCCTATGTAAATGTTAGCACGCCGATATCCTGGGGCTTATTTTAATGGTGTTATTGATGTTCACCGCCGC